GAGGCTCCTTCATAAATGCCAGGGATGCACCTGTCTTGGGAAAGTGATTGAGGAAAACACAGCCAGCCACCCAGTGCCCAGGAGCTCCAGCAAGGGAAGCCCTGCTCAGAACCAGGGCAACGAGGGGGCCCTGCTCTGACCCAGGACAATGAGAAGGCCCCACTCCGAACCAGGGCAGTGGCTTTCTGAAAACGGCACTCTCTGGGAAACAGCATCCATTTGCTGTAAACCAAGTGAAGCTATGCAATACTCAAAGAAGTTAAAAATCACATTTTTTTCTTTTTTTTCTGAGTAGAACTGCCTTCTAGAAAGAGCTCAGATCAATATTCACTGTTCTTTTGTTTCAGTAGTTGTCATTCTGTTCAATTAGATGATCTGAAAAAAAAAATGATGCCAAAAGTCTACGGTTTTTGGCTCTGTGGTTGCAGTACTGGCACCCAATTTGTTATCACTTCCCTATATCGTGACCTTAAGCAATCCTTTCCACACTGACTGAGCTTGGCTGTGTGACTTGCTCTGGTCAATGAGATAGTAACATGCAGGACACAGGCACATACTTGACAAGCCCTTGCACAGTGGGCTCTACCTCTCTGGCTGCTACACGATGAAGCCTGGGACAGGATGGGTGACTGCTGGGTGATGCAGTCACCTCTCTTACTGCAGCCAGCAGCCTCTGGCTGCCCAACCCATCACAACTAGCTATGGAAAAGTGAGTGAGCCCACATGAGACTAGCAGAACAATCACCCAGCTGAGCCCAGCTCAATTGTCTACCCTCAGAAATCATAAACTAAAGAAAGAGTTGTTAAGGCACTATGTTGTGGGGGTGATTTGTTATGCAGCAAATGCTTACCAATACATGACCCTTTATTATTTAATGGAATGGAGAAAAGAGTAAACCAAAGAACAGCTACTGCATGTTCAATGACACTTCCAAACAGTCATTAGTATTTTGTTATTTACAGAATAATAGAATAAAAAGCACCATAGCTATACTGTAAGAATGTTTCTGAGAAAATATCTTTGTTTTCAGAGAAAAGGGACCAAGTTAACCACTGTGGTGAGGCTCTGAAATCCTCCTCAGCATCCTGAGCCGCATACAGAAGCAACAGCAGCTGTAATGTGTCTCCATCCCTTCCGCTCAGAGCCTGTGGGAGGGCCATTTCTTGGTCCAGGTGAGCTCCTTGGATGTCGACCAGAAAGTCTCACTAAAGTGCCTAAGAGGCAGCTCGATTTGTAAACAACTGGCTGTTCCTTTGATGTTACTTTAGGAGTGCCTTTTGTGGCCAAGGTATAAATGCCAACATGCTCCATCTTACGTTATAGTCAAAAGTCACTAGAAATATTAATACAGAGCAGGCACCGTTATTATGACTAAAGATTCTCATTACTGTATTATTAAAAGAATTCTTTCTGATGGACTTCCACTTTTGCTGCTAGATCAGAGGAGCAGGACTGGGTGGGAAAGTTACCTCCCAAGAAGTATACTATACTACTTGTCAGAGCCTTGAATCTACTAAGACAGAAAGTCTGTGTCTGCCTCCACCCACTTCCTAGTTTTTATTTAAAACATTGTCTCTGAGTAGATTTCAGACCCTTATAGGGTTCCAAAACCACATCTATTACCTGCTGAAGCCACTGTGTGAAAAATCATTGCAATAAAATGGATTCAGTAATGGATTGACAAAAATATGGATTCAGATATACTATAAATTTTTTAAAATTGCATTAAAATATTGGTTGTGTTTATGTGCAAGCTCCATCAGAAGCCCACGTGAGTCTTCAAGAAGGATAAACAATTCTTTTGAATGCAGTCCATTGTGAAGTACCAGGAGGGAGGCTAACTGAGGACTAAGAAGATTTGCTGCTCACCTGCAAGATTTGCTGCTCACCTGCCTCTCCCACCTGCTCCCTCCCACCTGCTCCTCCCACCTGGCTCCCTCCCACCTGCTCCTCTCCCACCTGTTCCCCTCCCACCTGCTCTCCTCCCACCTTCTCTCCTCCCATTGACCTTGCAGAGGTAGTTATTCAAGAGAAGTGCATGAATGTAATTGGGGGTGGGGGAAACGATGTATGGGTGAGAAAGAAAATGATGAGAGATTCAAATGTCCTTTCCAATCTAGTTGGTTTCCAATCAACCATCCCAAGCTTTCTATCACTGGGGTATATTGTGTCCTGGAGGATTTTCCAAAACCCTTTAAGAAAGTTGGAAAATCCTCTCACAGCCAGTTTGGTTTCAAAAGGGCTTGGGAACATCTCTGATCCTCTCTACCATCGCATCTCCATTAACCACAAATTCCACCTTTTAGATATTTCTTCACCATTTCTAATGCTGTCCTTATCCTCTCACCTGCCCTTTTGACAAGCCCCCCAAAAGAGGCAGGGGGCACATCCAGTTTGGTCCTAGCCCCAGGCTGCCTCCCCTCTTGCCTCCATCTCCTCTACATCCTTGTCCCACTCCTGGCCAGAGCAGCTCCTGAAAACACAGATCAAGATCTGACCACAGCCCTTCTGCATGAGACCCTTCCATGGACCTGCATGGTCATGTGCAGGTGCCAAGGCCTCCTCCTGCAATGCCCAGGTCCTCCACATGACATCCTGCTCACTTTGTGTTGTCTTGTGGATTAAATGTTGGCGTATTCTGGCTCTTGGTTACTCTAACAAATCTATTTAGGCTCCCCAGCAACACTGCCTGTGTGGTGGGGCACAGCAGTGACCCTGAAGCAGAGGGGACAGATGCTCTGGGTGGGGCCTGGCTCTCCAGGCTCCAGGCCCGCCCCTCCCAGGGCTTCTTCTTGACTCTTTGGTGGGTCCCTTCTGTCTCACACGCATCTGAGTTTGTGACTCTGCATAAATACAGTCTCCCTTAGGTGGCTGATAAGGTCCTTGCTGATGGTACCCCCCTCCCTCTCCAACCTGTCTCCTCCCCATCCTCCCCATAGGCCTCCGCATTTCTGACCAGTTCCTCTTCCCTGCAGATCTCTGGAGCTGCTGCCTCTGTGCTCCCCAGGTCCTCTTGGACTGGAATTTCTCTGCCAGCTCCCCTCAAGCCTCCTCTTACTCATCCTCAAGATATAGCCAGGGGAGGGCTCCTGCCTGTGTGATGGCTTCTGAACCCTGCATTGAGCTCAGGGCCCTAGCCCCTCTTCAGAGCTGATGAGGTATTCCGTCCCCATAACTCCTGGGGCTGCGTTTTCGTGCATTCGCTTCCCTAATTCCACTCCATGCGGGTCGGGCAGTATTTATTCATACTTTGCTGCCAGCAAAGCCCTCAGATCTTGGAAAACAGTAGACAGGGGCAGAGGCTTCTGAACAGAAATCAAGCATGCTCCCAACTTTCCACAGCTGCATTGTGAGCACCCTCCCTTCACAGGTGTCACCAGAGGGCATTAGGACCTCCGCAGATGCCCAGGCATCACGTCTTGGTCCTCTTCCATGCTAAGACTCTCCACTCCCTGCCAGTGGGCTTCCTAGGCTCCACTGGCTGGGGCTGCACCGAAGTTTCCCTCTCCATTTCTGATCCTCCCTCCTGACTAAAGCCGGATCTCTTGGCTCCTGGTTCTCACTGAGGTCTCCAATCCTGATCCTCTGGGCTCCTTGGCCTGTCACTCCCTTGCAATTTCTCCAGCCTTTCTATCAAGCATGGGTCCCATGGTTGTGGGACTGATTCGGCTCCAAACTTCCTCCCTCTTGCTTTCTCCTGCCTCCTCCACCTTCCAGGCAGAGTACACCTTGCCAAGAGAGCCTCACCTGCTAAAGATGGTCCCACACGGCTGGAGAAAGTCACGGAGCCCTGGGTCTGACCAGATCTTCACACGAACTCATACTGCAGCTGGGCAGTTTCTCCAGGAGTCTTTTCTAGAATGGGCACTTCCCCCAGTTCACTGCTCTAGACTGTCTGCAATCTCCTCACACCCCAAGAGCTTCTCTGGCTGTGCTGATACTCAGCCAACATGAACCCCTCTTTTCCTTTCTCTTCAACCCACAGCGCTTGAAAGTTTCCCTTACCCCACCCTTCTGTTCTCTCCCAGGCCAGCATGCGGACTTCTTCTGAGAGACCAGCTTTCACACATACATGCTTGGAGTACAGCTCCTGCCTCCCCAAGACCACTCCCCAGCTGCCGGCCGCGATCCTGAATTTTCCATTCTGAACATTTCCTCTCTACTTACGAAAATGTTCTCACCTACCTTAGGGAAAACTGGACATCCCTTCCTTCCCCCTTTGGCCACACACTGCCTCTGAAGGTCGGACCTGTTCGGCGGTTTCCTCCCCCACCAAACTGATGGAAAGCCTGGCCCAAGTCTCCCTGACATCGAGTCCTGGGAAAACATCCCTGGCCTCACTGCGGCCGAAAGTCTTGGAGCGCATGGGCAGCAAACCGCTAGTCCATGGCCTACAGCAGCTGCTCTCACCCTGTCACCCAGTGCTGCCCTGGGGGGCCAGTGTGCCACATACCCAGCAACCACTGTGCCTACCATGCTATATCCAATGTGCAATGTGCACATCTCTGTGCATGTAATTCCAATGCTGTCACCTGCCCTCCGGTCCTCTAAAAAAGTCAGCTTATCTTCCCTTTAGGCTATCAGTACCTACACTTTCTTCTAGGATGGTTCAGCTCTATCAACAATCTCTCAGTAGTAACTGTGGAATGCAAAGTCAAGGACCCACAGGTGACAGCAGAAACACCTCCCAAAGTGTCCCGCATCCAGTACATTTCCAGCTTCATGTGGCTCTGGGATCAAGCATTCCTCCCTCCTCTTGTCAATGACCTCTCTGTCTCATGGGATGAGGGACAGCAGGGAAAACTGATGTACCCACCAGCACTGTCTTCTGCAGCCCCATCTGACAGCCATTACCTGGGGTCATCTCATACCAGAATCACTGCTGAAGCGTCCCTGGTTTTCTGTTAATCTAAGTCTTTCCTCTCCTTCTATCTTCCACAAGCATTCAAGAGTGAAGGGCACCAAGACTGCCTTTGGTTTCTGCATTTTTGCACACTAGTTTCGTTCCCTAATTTCTGGGCTACAGTGTATAGGCATTCATGGCTCCTGCCCACCCTAGAATCCCCATCACACATTCCTAGAGGGCCTCTGACAAATACATCCTCTGACCTCCAGCTCCTGGAACTCCTCCTCCTCCTCCACATCGTAGGACAGGGTATGGATTTTTATGTCATCAGCTGAGAGGTCGATGAACTTCCCATCAGGATACTCGAGGCTGTCTTTGGTGGGTGATCGGTCCTCGATGAAGGTGGTCTCGCAGCAGTCGGTGGTCACACCGTCCCCCCAGGAACGCAGTACGCCCTCTGAATAGAGGATGATGTTGGGCCTGTAGCGGGAATCCACCGACTGCTGCAGGGTGTTGGGGTCCAGCAGCTGCTGCACCGGCTCACTCCTGCTGCTGTCCAGGCTGGCTGGCACTGTGCTGGCCCCCACCCGGTGGCTCTGGTACTGGGGCGCTGGGTAAACAGACACCAGACCATCTCTGCTCTCAGTCATCAAGTTTCTGGTGTTAATTAAGCCATTCCTCTTGCCAGCATCACTGATTTTACTGTGCACCAGCATGCTCTTCTGTTCAATGATGCCATCCATGGTCCTCTTTCTCTGGCTAGGCGTCAGGCTGGCGGGCTGGGCACGTAGGTCACACTTGTCTCAGGGAACCCATTTCTCCTGGAGGAGGAGAAAACAGAGATGAGACAAGAGAATCACACTTAAAAACAAGCTAATCACCCAGACCCACATTGTTTCAGACTGTACCAATCAGCTGATAAACACATAGTAACTGTGAGAGTTAGACAAAATGCAGTCCTACCTATTCAGTGAATGTTAAAAAGGATCTGTCGGGGTGGCTAGCCAGAGGTAGCAGAAACTGATTACCTGAATCTCTATAAAGTCTCTGCTTCCAAATGAAGGAGACTGCAGGAGCTGGCTCCCTTGCAGCCTAGAGGAACCTTTGATTGCTAGCAGACATCCTGAAACCCACGGGTAAACCCAATCACATTAGCATCCAACAAGTCCATAGGAAAACATAACTGCAAATCTGTAATGGGGATTAGCTCTTCCCAGGTACATGGCTATTCATTCAAGCAGGAAATTATGTGATTGCAATAATCCCTACTTAGTGATGATCTTGAGGTGTCAAGTCCCAAACACGAATCTGCTACTGAGGCATCTTGAGATAGGCACAGCTTGGTCTCTTAGGGTGCTCTTTACAGTTTGCCACTCAGAATTTGCTGAGAACCGGCAGCATCAGCACCAGCTGGGAGCTTGTTGGAAATGCAGAATCTTGAGTAGCACCTGCATCTACTAAATCAGAATCTGCATTTTAACATGACCCCAGCTGATGAGTCTGCACATTAAAGCTGAGGAGGTGCTGGGCTACAGTGTATAGTGCAAGTTTTGGCCTGCTGAACAAGTTGGCTTGATTTTACAACCAATTATTTACCAAATTTTAAAATGTACTCAAATTGTATCAAACTATTTTTTACAGAACAACTTTTGTCATATTGAAGTGAATTTTTTTCAACTTTGAATATCATAAATTACGATACATATGCATGAAAGGGATCAAAATTAGTGAAATTTTATTTTTGTCATTGCCGCATCCTACGATATCTCTTTCAACACAGGCTGGTTTGTCATATATATTGTCTTTGCTTCATAATTCCCATTAACTCATTTCCTTCCATGTTTGCTGGTACCCACTCCCACCTGCTTAGAGCGTTTCCCTGGGCCTCAGTTCATCCACTCAGAGATGAAACTGGGTTGATGGGAGGAGAGAGAATGCCTCTGATGAGGCTGCCATCTGGGGTTATCCACATGGCTCTGCACCAATGCACTCTGGAGTCTTGCCCCAGAACGGTGCTACTGTTCCTCCAATTCCCTCTATAACTTTTGTGGGATTTTTTAAAAAAATTTTCTCAGTTGATGATATTCAGAACCAGTAGCTACAGAGATGAAAGCCTCCTGACTGACCCTTTATTTCTGCATGAGCAGTCTCTGCTATGTCTAAGATACTCCCTTCTCTTGACCAAATGCTTTCTGGGCTGCATCAACCACTGAGTTCCCCGTGTCATCTTCTTATAAGACTTGGAGTCTGGTTTTGAGCTTGGCAGAGCTTTAAATGCATCACTGGCCAATCATGCCCCACCTGCTTCTTTATCGAGGAAGGCAGCTAGAGGAGGAGACCAGATGAAGAGGGGCCTCTGTGGCCTTGCATTTGAGTTCCTAGTTCTTAGTCTCTTCATCACCATTGTAAGAACTCTCCTGGGGAGTTACTAACATGCACACCTAACCATGAGTTGGGGTGAATATCAGGTGAATGGGAAAATTGAGGCATCGTGAAAGGAAAATAAAAGTCAGAAAGTAGGTATGCAACATATTCTATACAAATTTTTTGTTATTATATATATATATATATTTTTTTTTTACTTGGAGACTGTCACAGTATAAAGAACACTTTACTAAGAGTCAGGAGGCCGGGGATTCAGCCCTAGTTTTGCTACTAAATATCTGACTGTGGGCAAGTGGCTTATGAAAGTGGAATTATTAATGGGGTGCTTGAGCAAGAAAAGCTTTCAGGTCCCTTTCAGCTCTATGATATTTTACATCTTAGTCCAAGAGTTCTAGGGTTTTATGGCAATAGATAAGAGATTTTTCACAAAATGGCTTCAGTGGTGAATTGTAGCAAACACTTAAAGAACTAATAGCAGTCCTTCTCAAACTTTTCCAAAAAAACTGAAGAGGAGAGAACACTTCCTAAGTCATTCCACGAGGTCAGCATTACTGATACCAAAGCCAGACAAGACACCAGAGGAACATTACAGACTCATATCCCTTATGAACACTGATGTAAAACGCCCAACAAAAATACTACTAAACTGAATTAAGTGGCATATTAAAGGAATCATATACCATGATCAAGTGAGATTTATTTCTGGAATGCAAGGAGGGTTAAAATTATGAAAATCAATCACTGTAATACTCCACATTAACAGAACGGAAGACAAAGATATACTATTATCTCAACTGACATAGAAAAAGAATTTAATGCTTTTCTACTAAGCATTAAATGCTTTCTGGAAAAGCATTGATGCTTTTCTCTTTCATGATAAAAACATGAAACAAACTAGGAATAGAAAGAAATTACCTCAACAAAATAAAAGCTATATTTGAAGAAATCCACAGTGAACATCATACTCAATGGTGAAAGCACCCATAAGATCAAGAACAAGGCAAAGATGCTCACTTTTCCCACTTTTATTGAACACTGTACTAAAAGTTGTAGCCAGAGAAATTAGGCAAGAACAAAAAATAAAAGGCACCTAATTGGAAAAGAAGAAGTATGATCTCATATATAGAAAACCCTAAAAATTCCATAAAAAATCTGTTAGAACTAATAAATGAAGTGAGCAAAGTAGCAGGATAAATGTTAACACACAAAAATCAGCTGCATTTCTATACACTAACAATGAAGAATCTGAAAAGAAATTTTAAAAATTCATTTACAGTGGCATCAAAAAGAACACAATACTTCAGAATTAACTGAACCAACGAGGTGAAAGACTGGTACAATGAAGTCATCAAAACATTGCCGAGGCAGTGGGTGGTGGGTCATGCCTGTAATCCCAGCTTTTTGGGAGGCTGAAGTGAGCGGATCACTTGAGATCAGGATTTCGAAACCAGCCTGGCCAACATCATGGTGAAACCCCATCTCTACTAAAAATACAAAAATTAGCTGGGTGTGGTGGCGGGCGCCTGTAATCCCAGCTACTGATGAGGCTGAGGCAGAAGAATTTCTTGAACACAGGAGGCAGAGGTTGCAGTGAGCTGAGATCATGCCACTGCACTCCAGCCTCGGTGACAGAGCAAGGCTCCATCTCAAAAAAAAAAAAAAAAAAAAAAAAAAACTGCTGAAAGAAATTAAGGAAGACATGAATAAATGGGAAGAGATTCCATATTCATGCATTGGGAACATTGATATTGCTAGAATGTCAATACTACCCAAAGTTATCGATAGATTCAGTGTGATCAGTAGCAAAATCCCAACAATGTTGTCTGCAGAAACAGAAAAACCCATTCTAACATTCACATGGAATCTCAAGGAGCACAGGCTGGACTTAGAACAAAGTAGGAGTACTGACACCTGCTGATTTTAAGACTTACTACAATGACACTAGAATCAAACGTGTGATATGGCATAAATACACATATATGGACCAAGTGAATAAAATAGAGAGCCTAGAAATAAACCTTTGCTTATACAATCAAATGATTTTTGACAAGGGTGCCAACACCATTAAATAGGGAAAGGACTTTTTTTCCAACAAATGGTGCTAAAAAATTGGATATCCACATGAAAAAGAATGAAGTTGAACCCTTACCTAATACCATATTCAAAAACCAATCCCAAATAAATTAGTCACCTAAATGTAAAATCTAAAACCATAAAACTCTTAGAAGAAAACAGGGCAAAAGCTTCATGACATTGGACTTGTCAGTGATCTCTTGGACGTGAGACCAAAAGCAAAGGCAACAAAAGAAAAAACAAGTTGGACTTCACAACAATTTAGAAATTTTTGTGCATCAATAGACAGTACCAACAGAGTAAGAAATTAAGCCACAGAATGGGAGAAAACATTTGCAAATCATGTATCTAATAAGGAATTAATACCCAGGATATATAGAGAATGGCTAAAACTCAACAACAGCAAAATCTGATTCAAAAATTGGCAAAGGACTTGAATAGACATTTCTCCAAAGAAGATATACAGATGGCCAATAAGCCCATGAAAAGATGCTCAACATCACTAATAATGGGAAATGAAAATCAAAACTGCATGTGAGAGATGACCTCATACTCACTGGGATGGCTACTGTTTAAAAAAAAAAAAAAAAAAAAAAACAGAAAATAACAAGTGTTGGTGAGGATGTGAAAAAACTGGAATCCTTGTGCACTGCTGGTGGGAATGAAAAATGGTTCAGTCGCTTTGGAAAACAGTATGGCAGTTCCTCAAATAATTAAAAATAGAATTACTATATGGTCCAGAAATTCCACTTCTGGATATATACCAAAAGGAGTTGAAAACAGGGTCTTGAGGAGATATTTGCATGCCATGTTCATAGCAGTATTATTCATAATAGTTGAAATGTGAAAGCATCCCAAGTGTCTGCGGATGAATGGATAAGCAAAATGTGCTATCTACATTCAATGGAGTATTGCTCAGCCTTAAAAAGGGAAGGGAATTCTGATATAGGCCACAGCATGGATGGACCTTGAGGACATCATTCTAAGCGAAATAAGCTACTCACATAAAGACATATGCTGTAGGATTCCATCAATATGAGGTACTTAGAGTCATCAAAAGTACTCAAAAGTCACCAAAAGTGTGGTTTCCAGGGGATGGGAGTGGTGTGAGGAGTTATTATTTAATAGGTGTGGAAGGAAAAGGGATATAGAGATAGACGGTGGTGACGCTTACACATTATAAGTGTACTTAATACCACCAAACTGTACACTTAAAAATTAAGCTGGTAAATTTTATGCTAACATAATAAAAATTAGAAAAACTCAATTAAACTGAACTAAAATCAAACATAAAAAGAAGAGCTATCTATGTGGAGATTCATGCTAAAGTATTTAAAGATGAAATAAAAGATGCACAGTCTGG